CGCCGCTCGTGAGCTTTCTCGCGCTATCGCAGCGTCTGCCTGTCGCCGACCTCTGGCCGTCCCTGCGCGCTTCGGCCTGGCTCTCTCACCGTGACGTGTTTATGGATGGTCTGCGCCTCCTCGCGCTGCCATTGCCGCTCTCGCTCGATACGTGGCAGGCAGTCGACACGCTGCGAATGCATGCGTCGCAGGTCATCGCATGCTTCCCGGCGCAGCGCAGGAAGTTGAGTTTTCGCCGTCCAGATCGACGCAACAGTAGGCGAGAGAGCCATTTGCTTCTAGCCTAGTCCCTGCTAACCCGCCACGCCACCACTCCCAATGGCTAGCGGTCAATCGTGTCGTCTCTTGCCCACTCGAGCGTCGAAAAATCGACTTGGCGCGTTCGATCGCCCACTCCAAGAGCCAAAATCACCAAGTACTATAGAACCGCGCAGTATAGTACAGTGTTGGTCGCATCGTTTGGATGGAAACAAGTCGTACATGTTAAGCGCATTATTGGATCACGACAGTCGTGTCCTTGAGGATTTTGATGTTGTACACAAGCGGCGTGATATCCGCGAGCTGCGCGTCGAGCAAGTGCACATGGCGGTCGGCGTCCTGCACGACCATGCACTTGACGCTCGTCGCGTCTTCCGAGCCCGTGGCCGTTGTGACCGACGACGTTTGCATCATTTTTTTCTTGGCGCGGAGCTCCTTCTCGGGCAGCCCAAAGCATACGAGATGGCTCGTGAAGAACCACTGGAGCGTGCTGAGGCGGCGCGCCTTGCAGATGAGCAGCGAGCCCTTGCTGTCGACGTCATTGTCGGGCTCAATCCCGTGCAAATAGTCGCACAAGATGGAGCTGCTGTTGAAGATGGCTTGGCGCGCGAGTGAGTTTTTCACGAGGAGCTGCCACGACTTGTAGTACAGCAAATGGTCCAGCAAGAGCACACATGCGAGGTTGATGACGACAAGCGCCAAGATGTAGGGCACGACGCGGAGGTAAAAGCTGTCAAAGGCGAGGACGTGGATGTCATCGAGGTTCTGCACCTTGTGGTTCAGGTCAAAGATGACACTGTTGGAGTACTCGATGAACGGCGGCACGTACATCAGCACGATCGCGCTAATGTACAAAGACGTGACGTTGGTCAAGTTGAGGAATCGCATGAGCTACGCAAAAAATGAAAAATGACAAGAGTTGTACAATGGTCCACGATAGATATAAATATCAGAACATACCTTGTTTTCGCCATTGTACGTCGACGTCGTCACGAGGTTGCACAGAATTTTGAGCACTTTGAGCACCGCGCAATTGATCCACAAGAGACGGGTACTCAGCGCATATTGCTGAATGTTGTACACAATATTCGGCGACGGCGCGTTGAAGAGATTGATGACGCGCAGGTACATGAGGCAGTTGCCAATGTCGAGGAGCACGCCAATCGCAAAGAGAAACACGAAAATGTCGGAATTGTAGCAAAACATATCAAAGCGCAGCGCCAAACTCGGGTACGGAAAGTACTTTGGCGAAATCGTGCGCAAAATTTTCGAAAAAATCGAGTCGGCGTTGGCCAAGAGCGCTTCCATGTCGGTCCACTGCACCGTGCGACGGCCCGCAAGGTACCCGCCAACAGCAAAGAAAATCGCCGTCAACTTGACATAGTGGGACGCCGACGAAAAGCCCGACTGCGGCAGCAAGACACCGACCTTGTACATCGAGCCAAAGTGGTTGACACTGCTCGAGATCACCACTTGCTTGGTACTGTCGTTGTACAAGAGCGTCACGTTGCACTGCCCGTACCCGAGCTCCGTCACCGGCGGGCACCCGGTGCAAAAGCTCCGTGGTGAAATCTTGTAGAACGCTACGAGCAGGTTCTGGGCATACGACACGTTGGCCACGGCAACGCCCGTTGTGAGCCGCATGTCGGTGCCCGTGCGCCCGGGCACATACCCGAGAGCGCGCAGCTGGACGTCGTTCATGCTTGCGGTCGGCATGTTCACCGTTGCATCGGATTGAAATGCATGCGAGAAGGTATTGCCTCGGAAGTACGTCACGACGTTCGAGGCAAATCCGAGTCGGGCGATCGGTGACGCGGCCACGTCATGCGGGTACGTGGCGCGCAAGATCTTGCACTGGTCGATGCTTGGCGTGAGCGGAAACGACCCGACCGAGAGCACGTAGAGGTCCGGGCTCTTGGTCACCATGGCGTGAACTGTATAGTTGACCATCCAAAACCCGATTTTGGACACATCGTCCAACCC